GTGGAACCTGCGGCGTCCGCCGGAGCCTTCCAGTCATGGAGGGCATTCAGTGGATCGACGAGGCCGGACTTGATCGCGAGCAGAGCAGAGATCTCATCGTCTGCAGCGCCAGCATCACTGGCATTGGCAATGCAGGAGAAGAACGCAACGAAGAAGAAGATAAATCTTAGTGGCTGCATTCTGGTCTTCTCTTCCTCATTAGCTGTGTCTCATTTCCTTGGCCTACCTCCTCCAACAAACAGACGAGGAAGATGAAAAGCCGGAAGAGAAGGTAAGCTTCATCGGCAATAAGCTTCTTCTTTAATACCTGCTCTTCTCTCTCTCACACAGTGTGCTTTGTTTAATGCTTTTGTTAGCTCGTGAGATCTCGAGTTCTGCAACAGCTAATGAACAGAGTTAAACGACTACAAACTTTGGACACACTCAAAGAGACATGGATTAATGGAGAACATACTCCGACATCAAACATGGAGAGGGCATGCATGCTAAAGCCTATCATGCAAGTATATGTTTAATCTCTTCTGCTGTGTGAGGTAAGGCTGACACTAATCTATTTTTATCTTTGTTGTCAAGAAACATATATAATACCATTTCCTTTTTAGTTTGAGGAGATAAAAAGGAAGGATGTGTTGTGGTAAACAACCTAGAGCCGTGGCCTCGGGATCGATGCGGCTCGGTTCGAATCCGGAAGGCGGGATCTTCCCGGTGCGGCCCTCGGGTTCGCCGAGGTGGTCGGCTACGGCGGTCCGATCAGGACGGGGTCAACCGTCTCCGCCGGGATGGGCCTCCTCGGCTTGGCACGCGCTCCGTCTGCGGTCCTGAACACAGGTCGGGTCGGGAGACGCGACCCGACCCCTCCGAAGATCAAGTCAGTAAATGGTGGAGGGGGTGGAAAGAAGAAGAGTTTGAGGTGTCTCCCTGGTGTGTTCTTTTCTCCTCCGTCCCCTTCGGTCCCCCTCTGCTCGTTCAGAGCGCGAGGGTATTTATAGGAAAGCTTGCTGTTGTTTGATGTGCCCGCTTGCAAGGGCAGACGGTGGCGTCTGATATTGGTTTGGCATGGCGTGAAGAGCCGAGCCTGAGTGGGCGTTAATGCACCTCAGGCTGTGTTTCAGTCCGTTTGACCGGGTGCCATTGCGTCGTCCGAGACGTGAGGCGTCATCTGACGTCAGCCGAGTCTTATCATAATTACTATCCTCATCAGGATGGATTCATGAAATCACGTAGTGGCCCAGTTAGTGTTCTAAGGTAAATTTCATATATAATGCTTACTAAACTTTCCTGTTTGTTCTCAGCTATAAACTTAAGAATAATAGTGACATGTAAAAGTAGTCCAAATTCAAAGTAATTTAGAATCGATTCGACTTTCCTAAAACCTAAATCGATCGAGCGCTGACCTGACTTGAAATTTTCAATCAGTAGGTTTTGAGCTTCGTCCCTTCGATGTTTAAGTTAAATGACCGTTCAATGCTAAGTAATTAACCTCTATCGTATTGATAGATAATTTTGAGTTATAAATGAAGGAGACTTAGTTCCAATCATTCATGGTGTTCTAAGACCAGCTTTTCATTACCTTTTTATTTATTTACCTTGATAATTTCCCAACCTGGGAGAACATGTTCTTTCTCATGACTACAGTATGATCATCAACTGTTCTGCTCTCAGTAATTGGCACTTACCTTTATTCAGGCACTGAATTGTCTGTTTCATCTCTGATTCCAGTTGCAGGGAATGAGAGAATCGAGAGCTCCCATGACCTTTGTCCCTACTGCAAGTCAAAAGCCACACAACCCTTTGGGTTCAGCTTTGCTGTCGGGGGAACTGTCTTCTGAGAACTGTGTGTCAGATCAACCAAACCCTAATATCATATCAACCCTCAGGTAGAAGGGTTACCGAGCTAAAGACAATGAACAGTTCTCCATGGAAGATGACATGGGAATCTCTCCATGTTATGTCGTGCTGCCGTGAGAAGGATAACACCTCATCCCTGTGTTATTTTATGGGCTGAGCAAGGTGGTGGGAAGTTCGACTTGGCCATTGGCAGCAGGGAAAGGGAGGGGGTGGAAGAGAAGAGGCATCAATGTGCAATCATGGAGAGGTGTCCACCCACTGCACTACCTACGGTCACATGCAACAACACATGGTCAGGGTTGGCATCCAAATGGGTGAGGGGAAGAGGGAGGCCATGTGAGGCTCTCCTCCTCTGCATCTTCTTCCCCATGCTGGTGGCCATTATTGAGCATCATCATCCTCCTATCTCTATGTTGGCCATGTGAGTTTTCGCATGGAGCACAGCCATGAGAGTTTGCTTTTCCAGCCCACTTAAGCTTCAGTGTTTGAGCAATTTGGCAAGTACTGATGATAATAATTGTTGGTTAATTAGCTGTGGAAAAGGAGAGAGAGAGATTCACTTCTCCTTCTCTACAAATCTATATCTTGAAGACCATCTGTTTATGTTGTAGAAGAAATCTCAAGAACTTGTCAAAAGTAATACAAAAAAAAGATACTTTGGCAGAGATATCAACATGTTTTTGTGGGAGTTTGTGCATATATCCAGCTGATGGTGTCCTCAGCTGAAGAGATCTTTACCCACTCCAAGCACCTTCTTTTTCACTCAATGATGGCTCAATTACAGTGGACTGGGAATTGGTGGAGGATACATGGATGGATGAGGTTTCTAATTATAGGATAAGTCTACGCACCATGCTGGCAGCTGCCGGCAATATAGGTGTTTCATGTTTTATTTTTTTTTCTCAAATAGTACTTATTATGATCATTTAAATTCTCTTCCATTTGTTTCCTTGCGTATACCTTCCTTCGTCACCATAGCTCTATTGGCACTATTCGCTAATTGGCTTCATCGCCTCCACCCCTTGCTCCCACCATGAGGCCCCCGTCACTTCTATACAATGCTTTTCTTACCCTTTGCGCTCGTCATTTTTACTCTTTGTTTCGTCTTATATTTTTCTCGCTTGTTACTCCCACCGCCTTGATCTTTCCTTGCTCATTGTGCTTGTTACCTCTGTCTTTTACTCATCACCGTAAAGCCTCACTCGTCACCTTTGGTAATGTCTTCCTCACAAAGAGACATGTTAGATGGACAAAGAAGGATGAGACCTTATATAGTGATGAGCAAGGGGCAAAGGCCACAAAGATGACGAGACTTTGTGGTGAGAGTATGAGGTCGAGGCAATGGGCATAATAAATAAAGAAGGCATCGCACGAGGCTTTGCGATGGGAATAAGAGGTAGAAGTGACGAGCACGATGAATAAGGAAGTGACAAAGGTGACGAGTGTGACGCATGAAAAAGAAAAAAAAAATCATGATATCATATAACAAATACTAGAAAAAAAAATAATAAAAATAGAGATGTCTTCTCAAAAGATTAAAAAAAGGAAAAAAATAAGTAGTTTTTTCAGAAAAATCGGCCTGGCACGTGTTCCAATGTGTCATGGTAATTGGCCGCAAGAGTACGGTGCAGCCGCCCTATCTTCGTGTTTCGGGTAAGTCAAGCGACAGGTTTCCTCGCCCAAGAAATTCTGTGGAGCCCACACCAGACCGACGGGCTACGCTAGTTTCTGTGGAGACAGGCCCCTGTCCCGTACCTTCGCTGAGACGGGAAATCTTCCTCTCACGTGGAACGCAAAATGACTTCAAACCCCAAGCCCTAAGGTGTGCGGTCGACGGATCCATCGGCGCGTTTTCGTCAATTGGAAGCCCTCGCCCCACTTCATATCACAAGAAATGGCGCCCTCTCTCCGATTTGGTCGCCTCGGTTCAGGAAGCCGCTGCAGCTCTCGCGCGATCACCGACTCGAGCTCCATCGCGCAAGGTCTGCATCGTTTCCTCTATGATCCGATTGAAATTTATGTCTCTTTTCCCCCTATATGGATTGTGTTAAAACATCCTACTTCCGGCGGTGGGGCTTGGCCATGATTCGTGTTCATCTTCTCGTCGTTCGATTGCTTTTGACAAACAAGAGGAGACGGGAAGCAAAAGAAGATTTGGGTACCACTCACTATATTCGTCAACTAAGTCTTTGCTTTCAAGGTTTGGTGAAATGGGTATTCTCGATTCTTGGATTCCGTCGATTGCCGTATCTTCTTGAATTTGTTTGAAGGTTCTTCCGATGAAATCGACTACAAGGTTCAAGATGTGAGACCCAATTCTTACCCTACGTGCGAAAGCGTGTATTCTTCTTCCAAGGATTTGGGAGAAGTGTCACTGAAGCGCTTACGGTGCAAAAGCTGATCTCGTCGGTCGCAATGAGAACGGTGATGGTGTGGCGATGAAACCGAACCTTCTTCTTGTGTTGCCATATCTAATTCCCAAAAGTCGGTAACACTTGTTATTGTGATTGTATTTGTTTAGTACCATGTTCTGTTCATACGCTATCATGAAAACATCTAGCTAGAAGGTTGACTAGATATAGTTGACCTTATATACTAACGATAGACGTAGATGCACCCGAAGAGACTTTTTATTCCTGGGAAACATATATGTTCTCTGATTAACAATGGTCATGTTTTCTTTCTTTAAGTTAACTTGGAATAATGTATTATGTTAGAAATATCTGTCAGGGACGGGGCAACTTTATGCTTTCGCATATTGTAATTGCCAAAGATATAACAATTTTTCATCAGATGTTTCTCTAGGAATGAGAATGTGTATGCTTGTGTTTGTGTATGTTGCATTACATGCTTTTAAATATGCACACCTACCAAATTGTCAAGTTAAATTTGCCCGATGAGGGAACCTATGGCGAAGCAGGATTAGATCATTATCCTTGAATTCTGTATTTCATGTTTTTTTGTTTGAACAATGTCGTATTTCGTGTTAAGTTGACATGTAAGTTAGATAATTGGAGCAGGAAACCATAGGTGTAGGACGGAGTGCAAAATGAATTCTAAAGGTACTTTTTAGCATGAAATGGATTTGATAAATTGTCATATAATTCTGTATGCCACCAGACTCCATATGAACATTTTAACATGCTAGTGAGAAACAATTAAGGTTTAGTTTAGACTTCTCTTTTTTCTTATGCTCTATGGACTATTTTAATCGACTTTTCAAGGAGCTTTTGTTCTCTTGATTCAGGATTGCAAATGCCAAGGAATGTCTCCATTTAAGTCGATTTGCTCCTTTCAGTTTGTAACTACATGTCTTGTTCATTGGATATTAAATGTACCAATATAAGTATTTTGCTATGAACTATTTTTCTATAATTTCTATATGAATATCTACTAAACTTGCAAGTTGATTCGCTAATCCACCCTTATTAGATTTTAGGAAAATTTAGAAAGTAATAATTTTGGTGGCTCAAATATGGAAATCAGAATATATGGATAATTTAACACTTGAATTACTTCATGAACATGGGCATGCATGTTGGTAGTCCAATAGCAGACACGAGAACATTGATCATATGTTTCACATTGTATCTTTTAGCTTTCTACTCCGTTTGTTTCCTCAAATAATAAAATAAGGAAAAGAAGAGAGGCCAGATGCATGTGTGGATTATGGGCATCTTGTATCAGTCTTTTCATGGACATAAACCTTCACCTGTCACACTTATATTCTTAGGCACCGACTTCTCTAGTGCCATAAGACTAATGGATAAATCTCCCATTAAATATGTTGTACAGATGTCTGATGTTGGAAAATAAGTTGTAGCTAGGCTTGCGGTTTCCAAAGGCTTTCCTCAAGTGAAAGGGTAAATTTGTTTTGCTCATTGTTTTACTTTCATCTTGGGCACTTTGTTTGGCGCTAGTATTTAAAAGCTTGTACCCACAAACACTAACTCGGATATATTTGGAGATGCAAGACCTCCTTGTTTTGCCAGAAAATCCAACAGGTAACTTACAAATGACATAGTTAAAAACTTCATTTCAGTTGACCAAAGCAAGCAGCTGGATTTAGCCAGAAATGACATGATCAGACAGGAACCAGGCAATAAGATTGTAAAGGAGAGAGATCATCGGGGTAGTGATTTAGTGCTGGCTATTGGCGTGACTTTATCTACTTGTGTTACTAGCAGCAAATCAAGTAAAAGACAATGCATGTTACACATGAAAACCTTGTTGAATCTCAAGATTCAACTCAAAATTGTGTGTTAGTGTTGCAGGATGAGGATATTAAATGGAAGGCCAAAGAGTTGGAACAACTTGAAAATCTTTATAAGATCAAAGAAAAAAGAAGTTTGTCCTCTCGTGTGGAGAAAATTGGATTTGATTGTGAACAGGCATCAAATGGTATGGCTTCCTCTTTGTTTACAGTTAGTTCATCAGTTCAGAGTCAATTTAATCAGGTGAACTCTTGCATAAAGTGAATTTTCTTTGTTTATTCATACATTCTGCTAGCTTTTTGTTACATCAAAGCATTACTCAGTAGTCAACTTTCTTTACAAGATTCTCTTTGCTTTGATGCATATTGTATTAGTTAAAAGGAAGCATTATATATGTTTTATATGTTATTGCATTATCATGATTGATTTATTAATGTGGAACTTGTTCTTTGAACTTGGGAATCAATTAAAATGTTGCTTAAAATAACTTCTTCTAAGCATATGTACTTTAATTGCAAATCTATCCGCTAAGAAAATTGAGTACCAAATAGCTGCCTTTCTATTTCCTCAAAAAGATCTGTCAATGTAGTTTTGGAAGTCAATGAAGTAATTAATGAGCTTGATCTGTTTCTGATTTTTACAAAGTGGATAATTCAACACTTCAATGTGTCATACTTGTGTTCAACAGATTCTTTGTAAATGTTATTTGCCAGACTGTGTCCAATAATTAAATTAGCAAAACTTATCTTTGTCCATGCAGTTATATGACAAACTTCTTTGGTAAACAACAAATTTTATGCTTCTGTATGTTTTTAGATAGAATATTTTTCTTATTGTCGAGCTCTGTAATTGTATCTGAAGCTTGCTTAGCATCAAAGCTTGAACTTGTCTCTTCTTTGAATAAAAAGGGTATACCTAGAAGCTTTTTGAATACATTATATGAGCAATGAAATATATTTGAAATGTGTCTATTAATTAGAGAATTTTTACAAACTTTGTTGAATTAACAAATAAAAAAGAGTTCCTAAATGACAGCGTTCAAGACGTAATCTTCTTTTTAGTGTATTGCAAATTCTTCAACTTTTTCCGTTGGGTCAGTGAGATGATAGACGTGCTTGATTGGAAGTACCTAAGCTAGAGAAGTTGATGTAACTTAATCTTATTACTTGGTTGCAGGCAGCAGGCATAAGCTATAAGCCTGAAATTGATTTGAAGGCAAAGCCTAAATCAGGTATTATCTACATTCCTGCAAACTTCTGAATCAATTATTCATAGTGCTTGGCCTAATAGCATATCCCTCGTTACAACTTTATTGTTATCATGATTTCCTTTGTTGCATATGAGATGTAGGACACATGAAACAACAAAAGATGCTGCCAAATCAGAGCTGTACAAATTCATTACATGATTTTGAATGCTTAAAAGCCACATTTCATCATGTAACAAATGCAATGCAAGAATCAACAGTGACAAATTTAGGACCAGGCTCAGAACCAATCGAAAAAAGCACCTAAATAACAAAGACAGGCTAATAAAATAGTTAGCTCCTTGAGGGGAGAAGTGATTGTTGGACTCTGAGGTCATATATTATATTGTGTAGTTTTTTGGTTGTCTAAGCTTGCATTACTGCTTCAACAAAATGCAGAGAATAGAAAGAAAAAGTAGTTTATTCGGACCATAAGATGGATGCATAAGCTGCTGGCTTTTTAGTTGCAAACCATCATCTGTGGCATCCAAATAGCTTGAAACAAAGCTGAGTGATATCAGATGAGAATAGGATGGTTCCTATTATCTATAACCAGGTTTATACTCAGAATATCTCCATTTTTGTTGCTGGGTATACATGAAGTACCAACTTATTTTTAGGAGAAAACACTGAGATCTTCTTTCTTGTTCTGTTTAGCAAGATGGAATAGTCCTATCAATATAATGGAAACTAGCAATGTGACTGTGATGTGCAGCATCTTCTTTCCTGTGTTTTTGAGTGTCAGATTTTTCATTTGTCATCACCAATAAAATTGCTAGTCATTTCTTTCATATGCTAACTGCCTATTGGACAGTAGAGAATTTTCTTGTAGAAAGGTATACTATTTTACAGACATTAGTTATGCTAAACCAGAAAGTGTGTCAGAGGAAGAATAGTATGGTTTTTAATTAACAAGATTCTGCAGTGGCAATCATGCCATACTTTTATAGATTTCACATAACAAGCGTACTAAGGGGTTCATTATCACCATATTCAAGTATTGCTTTGCCAAAGTTGTGAGAAATCCTTTATACTTTGAGATCATCATCTGTGCAACTTTTCTTTCCCTTCCATCATCTGTACAGGCAACACAGTGTTGTGCTGCCTGCAACACATCATCTGCCAAATCCACTGGACATTTACTAACCGTGCCTGAAATATGACTCTTCTTTCTTCACCATGCTTGACAAGCAACAGGATTTGAACCTGATGACCTTTATATGGTGGTAATGGTCCCTGATACTACCTGCATTTTTTTCTTTGCCTCACACGTGGCTGCTCAATTAGGTGGTGATAAAATACATGGCCTTAATTGTGGAGGGCATGATCACCTCCAGCTCTTAGGAGACCCACACTAGTCTTCTCTAATGATGTCAATAAGAAGGCTAATACCTTCTCCTTGAAGCCTGCCACTGTTAGTTCATGCACATGACCGTCCCACTCCATTTCTGGTTCCTACTTTTCAGCTTAAGGTGCAATTCCAGCCAATCCAACAGTGGCATCAGACACATCATGCAGGGCAAATGATCACCACCACGCTGCTGCTCCACTCTATCTGCTCTTAAGCGCCTCCTCTTCACGGAGTCTTCGAGTCTAAGCCAAATGGAGAAGGCTCAGCATGGAACAAGGCTTTTGGAAGAGCTCGATCTCCTCGAGAAGCCCAAGGTCTCGGAGCCGGCGAGCCGAAGGAATGTGTTCTGCTTCTGGAAGTGGAAGGTGCTCCGATTCCTCCTCGACGGCTTTCGGAGGCGGGGATCGCACTGCGTGGTCTGCCTCCAGGTCCATCAGATCGACGGCTTGCCGTCGGCCATGGACGACCGGGTCCTGGTCGTGGGCTGGAAGACCAAGGGGTGCAAGGGGGAGCACACTCTCCCGGTTCATGTTTGCGGAGGAGTCGCCAGCTTCGATGAGATCTTCCTGCACTACTGCATCAGCGACGTGCAGTCGATGCTGGGGAGCTTCACCGTTTGGGCCTCTTTAGTCGATGCCGCCGACTGCGATCTGGGTACTTTTCATGTGGATTTGAGCGAGTTCGCTGCTGCTACAGAGAATTCCAACTCCGCGTTCGCCGGGAAGACGGTGAGCTTTGTTCTCGGAGGCGTGGCGGGTGGTGGAGCACTGAGGCTGAGCGTGTACTGCAGGACGTTGGAGGACGAAGCCGGTGATCGAATCGGTATCCATTCGCGTACGGCAAGCCTTTCATTTCATGCGGTTCTCACGACCTGATGCTACGTCTTCCGTGACTCATGCAGGCCAAAAGCAGGCGAAGAGCAAATGCTTCTCGTGCCTCCCTGATCTCGGTGGTTGCATCAGGAGCTCCCCGATGACCTTCTGCGCGCGCAGGATCCCCTCCCTCCGCTCCGACCACGGCTTCATCACCTTCGAGAACTTGATCGCGGGGTGTCCTCCGATCAACGACGAGGACGGAGGCTTCATAACGATCGAGAAGGGCGGCGTCGGCTCGCGGTCGAGGCGGCCTCCCTCGGACCACCTGGCGAACACCGACGATGACGAAAGCGGCGGGCCCGAGGATGAGCAGCCATGCCTCATGACAGAACTCAACGAGGAACTCGACGACGACGACGACGACGACGACGACGACGAAGGGGTAGAGAACGAGTTTCTTAAGATGTTGGAGGCGAATGACGAGCCATGGAAGAAGGAAGCTGGAAAGAGCTTGAGCTTAAGCTTGGATCTGAGCGCAGACTTAGACTTGGATTCGTTGATAAAGGAAGCGGAGATGGAGCTGAAGAAGGCGGCACAGGCGTGGAACAGCGGAACCGGGGCAGCTCTGCTGCTGGAGAAGGAAGAGCACGAGGAGCTGATGAGGAGATGGGGATCGAACGAGCACCGTTCTTCTCCAGGCTGCTCCGGGCTTCATGCCTTCGGTAGTCCTCTCTAGTCTGAGATGATGTAATCTTAATCATATGTTGCTCGACAATCACAACGTAATTGTTATTCTACTCCTCAAGTTAATGTCACGTGCATGTCACGTGGACAGAATGTAGACTGTACATCTGCATCTCCTGCGATACGCACAATAATTTTCTGTTTGACTTCCGTTAGTGCCAAAGCGAGGACCACCGTCTTTTTACAGTTGTGCCACTATCTCGAAACCATCTCGCGTTTACGTTGGTACGTCACTGTCGCGCCACCTCCCGCCCAGTATATTCTCCGCACCTCGATCTCCCTCCCCCATACTCGCATGGATTCTCCCACCATCGCCCTCCTCCTCCTCCTCGCATTCGCCGCCTCGCTTCCGTCCACGGAGGCGGCTGCATCTGGCCGGCCTTCCGAGATGGCGGCGAGACGCATCCCCACCACCCTCGATGGCCCGTTCCGGCCGGTCACCCGCCGCCTCGACCCTTCCCTCCGCCGCGGCAGCGACGACCTTCCCATTGATCATCCCCGCCTCGCCAGGAAGGTCAGGCCTCCCTTCCCCGAGCAGATCGCCCTCGCCGCCTCCTACTCGCCCTCCTCCATCTGGGTATCCTGGATCACCGGTACGGAGCCCGTCGAGGTTGGCCCATGCCCATTTTTGGGTGTTCGGTGGGATCGGGTCTGGGGTTGATGTCTCGAATCGTGTTTTGAGGCGCAGGGGATGCGCAGATTGGGACGAATGTGACTCCGGCGGACCCGTCGACGGTGGCCAGCGAGGTGTGGTACGGGGAGGAGAGCGGGAAGTATTCGTTCCTGGAGAGAGGGACGGCCACCGTCTACAGCCAGCTGTATCCCTTCAGGGGCCTCTTGAACTACACCTCCGGCGTCATCCACCATGTGAGGCTCCAAGGTGATTCGTCCTCTGCTTCGTTCTGCCTTGTGAAGATTGTTCTTGATTCTGCTACTCTATATCTTAGCTCAGGTGAATCTAAATTTGCACACATAAATTTCGTGGCTTAGAGAATCACAAATGCCAGTATCAATATTATCCTTGTGACTTCTCCAAGGTGATGCTGTCAAGAATCACGATGTTGCTTGTGACAGCATTGGTGCTACTGTAATCATGATGGGTTTTAGAACTTGGTCTTCTGGAGTAGCTCTGTAAGAAGTCGTCATGTCAGCTAGAATTCTTCTATTCAACGACTGCAAGCATAGTGTATTAATTTTCAATATGACTTCCAAACCCAGTGTCTATCTTTTATGGGTTTAATGTACATAGTCTCTATATACCTTCTGGTACTGTCAACATTTCATTTTCTTTAATTTTTAGAACCTTCCTTGTTGCCGACTAATAGGTCTTTACTGTCCCAGAAGTACACCATGCAATATATTGGATAGCTCACAATTTTGTTCTTACCCTTATCGTCTTTCAAGTTCTTTTATCTGCTTGTTAGAATTGGGTATGATATCTCATTCTTAAGTTTCTTCTGAAGTAACAGGAAGATCTGGTAGTCCACATAGAAAATCTTTAGCTTAGAATGTTTAGCATATTGGAAAATGGTATGGTATTGAGAAACAATATAATGGGGGTTTGCCACTTCAATATAATAAAGGGTTGTTTAGTTTTTTGTGCTAGCTGGTATTCTAAAGTCTACAATTGCTTCTTTTTATGAGGATCCCTCACATTATACAATAAGAGATATCAATTATAAAGATGATTATTCATGTTCAGTTAGTAATTCCATAAAAGGGATTTTCTCACCATTATCAAATATTTGTTTCAAAATTTTGAGACAGGTTTAAACTGGCTAATAAGTTTGGTGAACATGTAAAGATGGATGTGTGTAAATACTAAAGGGTTCTATCACTCTATGAGAACCGAATCCATTAAAGTACATGAGTAGCAACACTGGTGGATAGACCTGTGGAAAATCAGCTGATGTTTGTCATAACCAGTAAATATAAGGAAAGCCACGATATGTAGATGTCTCTGGACTTGTCTTAAAAGGAAAATAAGAAGGGGAAGTTATAAGAGAGCTTGAGCAGAAAATGTAGGTCATTTTTACTTGCACAAAATCTTTGAAGAAGATGCTGCTGGTATTGGCTAGCTGTTGCTGGATCTGGTGTCTCTGTTCTTAGTTATTCTTGTGTTATCATCTAACATTATTCTTTTCTATATTACGATAGTTGTGTGGATAGATGTTGAGAACTTTTACTTTCTGAAATTATGTCTTTTCTGTATTATGGTAGTTCTGTGGATACTGCTGCTTTAAATCATAAATTGGTATATTTAGTTCTACAGAATCATCGTTTAAGATGTGTCCTGCATTAATAATGATAAATTTAATTATGCTTCCTCTCAAGAATGGAAATCATGTCAAAGGGATGAAAGTATGATGAATGAGAAACCTGTTATATGACTCTTAAATCTTGACAAATAATTTTCAATTTCTCAAATAATATTAAGTTTTTAACTTTTCAAAGTAAACTTATACCTCTTGATAATGAATATATTGAGTCTGTTCACCTTGATATTGATGCTGATAGGATAACAAATTCTACCACTTTGGTAATAGACACCTTGATATTAATTCTGGTAGGATAAGCACTTCTACCACTTCAGTAATTTGAAAAGAAGTGGCACGAGGTAGTCCTGTTTCATGGTGTAGCAACTTATAAGGCGGAGGGTTTATTTCTAACTTTGTGCATTAGAGGTAAATAAAACCTGATATACAGCCTCTGTTCTACTTTTTGGTAAAGAAATACTCTCCAATAATTGATTCTTTTAAACGATATTGTTTATCTTGAATCTATGTGCAATGTACACTACCAAAGTGAGCTCTTGAAACATTGCATGATAATCAATATTTTTGGGTTGTTTTGGAGGATCTCTTCAAGGTTGTAAAATCTATTTTTTCTTATATTTCATGTAGGCCTCAAAACAGCAACAAGGTATTATTATAAATGTGGTGACAGCTCCTTGATGGCCTTGAGCAAAGAGCATAGTTTTGTAACATTACCCTCATGTGGCCCAAGATATCCTCATCGAATAGCAGTTATTGGAGATCTCGGTCTGACAAGCAACTCAACAAGTACCATAGATCATTTATCTAAGAATGATCCTTCAATGATTTTAATGGTAGGAGACTTAAGCTATGCAAATCAATACTTGACCACAGGGGGCAAAGGAGCTCCTTGCTTCTCATGTGCATTCCCTGATGCACCCATTAGAGAAACATACCAGCCACGCTGGGATGCATGGGGGAGGTACTAATTAACTTGATAATTTTTAGTTTTCATTTTCTGAATATTTTTAACTGTTTTAGTGGATCCTGCTTCCACTTATTTTAATTGAGGTGATATGCTTTGTTTCACACCTATTTGTTCAACTATTTCGTTGTCACCGACTGCAGATATCTGTTTGAAGGTGAAGCAAAGTCATTGTGAAAATTTGTTTTGCATAATGCTACCCAATCTAAGTTGAAATCAATTAAATCCAATGCATAATTTCTTAGAGTTTGTCATAGGTAAAATCATCTCTCTAACTGTGCATTGCAATTCAATTTGCATCAACTGCATGCACAAACTATAGACTGGATGAATAGTGATAGAGAGGACTTATACATGAGAGTCAATGGGTACAGTCACAAGAAGTTCGAGTCATTATGGGAGGGAGGAGAATGTTGATAGATAAATTGATAGTATTTCAAAGGTAGTTGGCTCTAGGCCTATAGTTCCAAACTAAAGCGAGTTGGTAGAATATTGTGTCTAACACTCTACCATCACTTCTAAGAATGTGAATAAAACAGGGTTTGATACATCCATCACCACTAAAATGACTAGTAAAGAGAAATTAAAAGAGAGAAAAGTTGGTTCTGCTATTGTTTGAACTTTGAAACCTTATAAAAGTGGCCCTTTTACCTTTATTTTATAAGTTTCAGAGAAGTAATCTATATCAATTCAAACCAATGTTGATATTTGCTCTATTTCAACCGTGCCTTCCGCGGTTTGGTTCTTGCACTGCAATGTCAGTCAAACTATCATATAGCAGCTGTTATTGTTTAAGAACTCATTTCTTTTAATCTCTTAGTATGTACTTGCACTGTAGCAATGTATGTTGCTCTAATAATTTGTTCATTGCATGTTTTTCTTGCTGTTGATGTGGCAAAAAAAGATTTCTTCTCAGAGATTTTGTCCCTAGTAAGCCCAGGAAAACAATTATGTTATATTAGATTACTGCTAAAAGTATTATTCAAGAAGCTAACATCCATACTTGTGTAGGTTTATGGAACCTGTTATATCAAAGATTCCCATGATGGTGATTGAAGGGAACCATGAAATTGAGCCACAAGTTGACGGGTTGACTTTTAAATCATACTTGGCACGGTTTGCTGTTCCATCACAAGAGTGTGGCTCCAATAGCAACTTCTATTATTCATTCAATGCTGGTGGAGTCCATTTTATAATGTTGGGTGCTTATGTTGACTACAACATGACAGGTGGCTGATTTGTCACTTTGATGCCAAATTATCAGTCCACGTCTGTTACTTTGACAACCAAGTTTTGCTTTTTCTCTATTATCTACTGACATTTAATTTCATTCTGTCATGGGAAATTGTTCTGTTGCTATGGTCCATAATCATCACACTGACTTACTGCAGGTGCTCAATATGCTTGGCTTAGAACAGACCTGCACCATGTCAATCGCCAAGTCACCCCATGGGTTGTTGCTGCTTGGCATCCGCCTTGGTATAATAGTTACTCCTCTCACTATCAAGAATTTGAATGCATGAGGCAAGAAATGGAAGGACTCCTATACAACCATGGTGTAGATATAGTCTTTTCTGGGCATGTAAGTAGCCAATCAGCTCTGTTTTGGACTATAACTATGGTCTCACTAGATAACATCAGATAGTTGTTCTTTTTCATTGTGGCTTTTGGGAACCTTGTATCTTATGCAATTAGTTAATGCAAGTGAAGCATCTATGTGTTTATCATTTCTTAAAAAGTCTCTAGGCAGTAAATAAAACTTGTACCATATGGCATCATACAAAATACTGTATATTGTCAATTGATAGGGAACAAATTCAGCTATCTAGTTCCGCATGGTAATAACATAGCTTAATTGCAGATATAGACACATTATTAGCATCATAGATTTGTTAATTGAGCACAAAAATTGCAGAGAAGATGAGAATGTAGGAATAGGAAGTGCATTTAAAAGTGCAGAATGGCTTTTAGGAGCACAGAATGCATTTTATGCTATTTTATAAGTCACTTTTGTCAGATAATGGCAATGAAAAGAAGTCACTGTGCTCAATTATGAGGCAAGTTTGCTTTGTAGGGATCTGTTTTCTCAGGTTCATCATGCAAACTTCTCTTATAATAATGATATATAGCATATCAATTGCACTCTTCTTTTTAGTTCACATCATCTATGCATGCATCATATTCAAGCATATGTAACTTGAAAACTTTGCACAATGTTTTGTTTGGAACAAACGGGGAGCTTGCCAGTTGCTAAGGTTATTGCTTCGCATTCCAGTTGGCATAGCTGAGATCAACACACATGCACATTATGTCGATTGTACGTATAATGGTATCAGTAGGTTTTCCCTTATTAGAAAAGATAGTTATATTGTTTTTGCTTATAACGGCATGATTGTGGAGCAAAAAATATACTTTTGCTGGATCTGCACCCACCTCCAACTAATATCCACAAATGGCTTGTTTTTGATAATATATAACATGATCATATGCATAGATAGTTTTTGTAGTTGTTGGTTTTACATATGACTGCATAATTGTTTCTCCATGAGCAAAAAAGAATGAATAAATAAAAAAAGAAGACACGTATGAATGGTTGACCTTTTCTTCTTCATGTCCGACAGGTCCATGCTTACGAAAGGATGAATCGAGTATTTAACTATGCATTGGATCCATGCGGCCCAGTTTATATAACCGTAGGTGATGGTGGCAACATTGAGAAAGTCGATGTTGAGTTTGCAGATGATAACAGAAAGTGCCCTTCAGAAAGCGATAACATTCCAGAATACGGAGGTGTCTGCCACCTGAATTTTACCTCAGGCCCTGCAAAGGGAAAATTCTGCTGGGAAACCCAGCCGGAATGGAGTGCATTTAGAGAAAGCAGTTTTGGTCATGGAATCCTGGAGGTTTGAATTCGTACTTCCTCATAAACTTATCAATCTATCATGTCCTATAAATTGTCAATAGAAGCACCACTTGTTGATGAAACTAATCCTTTTTTGAACCTTGGAGCCTTGGACAGCAGCAGTCATCAACTTTCTTCTTGAATTTTGATCAGATGTTTGTTTGTATGTTCTTTTCGTTTCACAGGTTATAAATTCGACTTACGCCTTGTGGACTTGGCATCGAAATCAGGATGCCTACAAGGAAAGCAGAAAAGGAGATCAAATATATATAGTGCGACAACCGGAGCTTTGTTTCATGAAAAGCGCAAAGATTACTAGTGAAAACTGATAAGCTCGACAGCCAATAACATGCGAGGAATTATGAAGTTGACTATGATTTCAGTCGAAACCATGAGACCACTCAGTATAATCTTTGCTTGATCTTTCTATCTGCAGCAGTAGTTTTGCTACACTCATGACAGAATCCAATCTGTCTATCAGTGTCTGAACAATGATATATATAGCATGTAGTATGTTGTAAGATTCTGTTTTCTTTTCTACCAAAAAGTTCCAGAATGGATTGAGATCTTGAGACTTGCAGCAATCCTATCTATTAATCTGCATGATGTGATAAGCTTATCAAGGTGCAATGTGCGTGGTAATTAAATTCAAGGACGGTAAGCAGACGGTCGGTGTTCGCAACGAGCCGTTAGCGAGGCGTCCGTTCGGGCGACTTTGCGTGTTGACCGATGGATGGTAAGCTTACCTTCGGGTCATTGGTACGCGTCTTTTGCTTTTATAAAGAGTGTCCGTTCCACTGCGGTGAACGTAAGAAAGAAGGACTCGAGCGATTTGACGCCAAAAATATTTTTTTGGGGCCGCTTTGCTTGCTGACGGTCTTACGGTAAGCGTACGAGGTGGTGGCGACATCCTACGAAGCGCCTTGTATATTTATTTACACAAGCATAATAATAGCCGATCTAATTTCATAATTAATTATCAATGAAATTGCCTTAATTATATAAATAAATAAAAGGAAAATAATATATACTAAAATAATAAAATTAACCAAATAATTACTAATGCAAATATGAAAAGATTCATGGAAGTGATGCCGATGGTAGAATCTAATCATCAAGATACGTGTGATAAGATAAAAGGAAATAATATCTGAAAAAAGTATTTCTAAAACTATATATATACTCGTAAATTTCCTTTCTTGCATCGACCTTTGGTCGTCAAGGATTTGCTCGCCGATAGCGAGAATAAAAGACACCGACTCGACTGATTTGATTGCTAACTTATGGATCATGCACTGTAAGCTTCTCTCTCTCTCTCTCTCAGGTGATCCTAAAAAGGTCAGTTAACCGCCATGTGAGAATAAGAAACCCAGAATTGACAGATTGGAGGCCAAAAAATTAAATTTCGGGCGACTTTGCAAACAAACCGATTGGAGGTAACCTCACTGCAGGTGTTCTTACCTTTCCGCTATCTATCTTCCAAGGCGTCCGCTCGCTCACCATACGGTGAACATAAGAAACCCCAAGTGGAGCAATTTGTAGCCGAAAAATAAAATTTCGGGCCACTTTTACCTGCCGACGGATGCGCGGTAACCGTACAAGGAGGTACTGTTAAACCAACCTTTCTCTACTGACACACGGCGGTAGTCAAATGCTTGAAGAGGAGGAAATAGAGAAAATTTGTAGTGAATAATTTGTGCAGAGATTCTTACTACAGCTTTGTTTGTTCTGAATTTTTTTTTCCGTAAACTTAATATAGTTTATGTCATAGTTTCGAACACCGATCCATATTTATCGAATTGAATTAAAAACGAATGAATGGCAGTAAAAAAAAAAAATCAGAAGCGAAGTGAAAACATAATTATTAGTGTCTTCGCATTACCTCACCGACTGACGCATCAGATGGTAAGCTTACTATCGGTGCATTCAGCACCCGACGTTTGTTTCCTTTAAAGATTCCGCTCACCGTCGGTGAAGGTAAGAAACGTGGTCTCGAGTGATTTGAGGCCAAAAAGAATTTTTTGTGGCCACTTCGCTTGCTGACGGCCGCACGGTAAGCGTACCGTTCGGTGGCAGCACCCACCTCGTTCATCGGGTTCCGCTCACCGCCCACGAAAAAGGTACACGAGTGACTTTATCAATCGACGGATGGAAGGTAAGCTTACCGAGTGGCATTCAGCACCCCACGTTTGTTTCCTTTAAAGATTCCGCTCACCCTCGGTGAACGTAAGAAACGTAGTCTCGAGTGATTTGAGGCCAAAAAGAATTTTTTGTGGCCACTTCGCTTGCTGACGGCCGCACGGTAAGCGTACCGTTCGGTGGCAGCACCCAACGCTACTTTCGTATGGCCAATACGATTACGGAACTAATTAACCGAATAATTCATCTAACTTCATATAGATAGTAAGATTAACAAATTAATTACTACGTCCTATCAAATACTTATGGATTAGAATTATTGTGTTCTGAGGGTTATAATAATTACCAAATCGTATTAACATTTAAAATTGTATCATCTCAGGGCATTACTATACGAACATAAATCTCACCGACTAAGCATTACCGTAATAAAACATAGTAAAAATATATTACACAAATACTATGAAAAATACATGATGAGACGACTTTATGAATGTCTAACTAATAATAAACTGATGCTGATGATAGAAAAGTGCAATAAGATTAAAGCAGGAATATATTAGAACTAATATAATTTTGATGAAAAAAGGACAGTATTTATTTCTAAAACTAAAATGGTGAGATTAAGACCATAGTGAGTGAAGGTTTGAGTTCATACATAAGAAAGTCTTACTTATAGGCAGCAATGATCATGAAAGAAAATGGACATTTCAAAACATCTCATGAGATTTACCTATGCATATTTATCACTTCATACAAATACAAAATCATCAGAACACTTGAGAATACAGCGTTTGTGTGCCAAAGGAAATTTAACTATTTCGAGCCGAAAGCATTTGCTCTAAACTTTACCATGGATGCTGCCTCTTTAACACCTTGTGGATGGATGAAGGGGAAGAAGGGAAGAAAGAAGTTTTTATGGACTCAAAATGACATGAGCTTGGGGCCATTATCGGGCATTCCCATCCCGGCAGCTAAATCAGCATCGAGTTGAGTGTGAGGTGCAGGTCCTGACATTTGCTTCACACTGGAAAACCATGAATGAGATTTATAAGATTAAGCAGGAAATTGAAATTGAAGTTCAAGAAGCCACTAAAGCACCTAGAATACATCACATAAAATTATATCAACTTCACGCTTTTTTTGGCTGATTTTGTTTCTCATAATCACCTAACCTGAACCCTTTCTTGTTGCGAGTAACTTGTTATCTGATGCTAGCTACATAGGTAAGACAAAGCGCCTCAGAGAAAATAAAGCTCGAGCAAGTTTATAACTGTAGACTCATCAAAATATTTTACAGGGCATGAATATGCTTCGACTTGGTATTTGGGAACTATAAATTAAGCTCTGCATATGGTTGCAAGTGAAGTTTTTTCTGACTACCTCCACATCAGAGAACAAATAAACCAATCTCTAACCAAATAAATGCTACATTACTATGTTATGTAGAATATTGTGAGTTTGCACTGACATCAATAGGTCGTTGAACTTTAATGATTTTGAACTCTCATGCAAATTCAAGAGCATATAAGCAGTCGTCTATAGAAAAGCCACCTATCGCATTTCTGTAACTATCCCAGCAAATAAGATCTAGGTGCTATATTTATAATTCAAGCAATCTCCATATAATATCTTAGGTGCTAAACGACTTCCCAAATTTCTCATGAATATCATCCATATTATTTCACTCATTTCCTAAATTTCACCCTTAGTACTCATCAACCGGACACCCACTGGGCTGGGAGGTCCTGAAAAATCCATTGCATGTTCCCTTGATATCAAAGGTCTAAAAACTCTTCTACTTGGCATAGGCCATGTCTTGTCTTCTGAAAAAAAGCACAATACATTCTTCACGCAGTTCCAATTATCTTAGGTCTAAGATGAATCATTTTGTAGCTTCTTTGGTTCATGTCCATTTATTTTTATTTTAGGTTCCTGATTTGAGTAAGATTTAGAATTATGAGTATTTGAATGTTAATACACCAAAAACAATTTATGGAAGACCTCGATATCTCTCTTTAGACGTGATCTTATGTGATAAAACTTTTAAGAAAAGAATAGCCTTATTCCATATGAGAATGACACGGTGTCCAGGAATGGGTAGAGAACTTACTTTGATGAAGCGCTGGAACAGATTAGAGAAAGGAAGTATTTGTGAGAAATTCAAATTTTCTTTCAACATCAATTGAAGTTTGTAGACACTAAACTCTTTCTCATTACGTCTAAAGCTATCTCCCACTCGCTCGGCAACTATTTCCTCTCAGTAAACTAGTGCTTCCATTTTTATGTTTGTAAAAGTGTAAAACAACAATCCCACGCTACTTATACTCTAAGAAGATAGATCAAACTCAAATTTGTGGATCTCAATTATCTAATTAGTTTTTTCCCTATGGATCCAATGAGGAGTTGCACTAACACAGGTTTTCTCACAGCACACAATCCTACATTCTTCTGGCTATCCTCCTTCTTAGAATCATTAAATACTAAATGCAGCTGTTTTTCCTATTGTAAGATACACATCATCAACTAAACCTCGTTTCACTTCTTGAAGCACTTCCAAAATCAACAAGGCTATTATGAGATAAAATTATTACTTGTACATCGTCAAGGGTTCATACAGAGCCAATGACAAGCACCATCCTCATAGGTTTCATCCCACAAAATATGACCTAAATTCCTAAGCAACGCACCTCATGGCAAGATGGATACACCATTAAATATGATCAGTCGATACTTTCCATGAAAGAAGAAGCTGCCACTTGTTTGTTAAAGAATATAATTCAGCTAGATGCCACAACAAATTCTCAACCGTGGCATAAAGAGTCCGAAAAAGACACCATGCTTCGGAGAGCTCCGCTACAGGGACTGCTATTTGATGACCACACACACTATAAAATCATCTATTTCGTTAGCTCATATACCTCATAAACAACCAGAATCTCAACTGTTTTTTCGGATCAGATAATCACCACAATAAACAAAAAGAATAAAAAAAATCAAATCTTTAGAACAAGCACCAGAAGGAGGAGCAAGAATTAGTGTCCGGGCATACCGTTTCTTGTGGCGCTTCGAGCGGAAATGCTCGTCCCGTACATCCTCGCTAGCAAAGTATCGGCTGCAACACCAGAAACAATAGCAATCCATAACGACCTCTAGAGAAAAGAAAACCGTTGAAAGCAAATCTTCTCTAGAGTGCAATCAAGTATTACTCGCAGTGAAGACAGTAGAACTGGCCCATCCCGGGAAGGTCCTCGTCGAGCGGCAGGGGTTTCGCCGCCGCGGCCGCCTCCTGCGCCTGCTTCAGTATTTCGTTATATACCTCATCGTCGCGTGGTCATCAGGAATCAAATCGGTCAAGGAGGCAAAACATACTAATGACAAAAAGAAAAAAAAGTAATTCGAACGGAAGACAGCAAAAAGGATATCTTTGAGGAGGAACTTGGATCGGCGAGCACTTTTGTGTGAGAAGCGGCGCTTCTTCACCTTCCTGCTCGGGCACTTCCCTCCCATCTCTCCCTCCTCGTCCGCCTCCTCTTTCTTCTCTCCTATCTCGTGCTCGGGAGCGTCAAGACGCGAAAGTAAAGGGCAACTGCGGGAACCCTAATTGAGGTTAGACGGCGCGGCGCATCGTTTGCATATATACCCTTCAAATTAAAGCTAATTGTTTTTTTACTAAGTAGGCCAATTTTGGGCCGAAATTGGGCTGACAAATGTTAAGCCCAACTCAGTCGAACTCGATCCCATTACCAATTCATACGAACGGACGCGGGGAATACGAAGACAAAGATTCCACTTGGATCCCTCGCAGGAAGCTGCGAGGACAGTTCACCGAAATTACAAAATTATTCTGTTTGAAATAATAATAACTATAATAATTATTATATTATTGTTGGTGGTGGCGTTATTGCTGTCTTTTTCTTGGGGGTAGCACGCGGCTGTCACGCGTCTGACATCATCCAAGAGGTGATTTCGACGAACACTTGCAGCCGTCATCACGGAGTCCCACGTCGAAGCAATTGCTTCCATGTGAAGGTGTGAGGGGCGATTTGGTCATTTCGGTAGAAGCTTCGTGTCTCCCATCCACCGCCACGTTTGAAGGTCCGTCAACGACGACCGTTGACGCAAAGCTCACTGAGGGGGCCCAGTGAAGATCCCGCCGTTCGTGTTCGAGATTGGCGGATGATGAACGGTCCTGATGGGTCGATTGGACCGCCCTTGTCCTGGCGACGCGAGGAGTTCCAATCACCTGTATGAATAGCGGCACGATCCAGCTTTCCCTGGCCGCGGCCCGTGTGGCGCCCACCGTGAAAGAAAAAGTGGGACCGTCTAGACTGCGAGCAGGGAAGCTGGATCCTGACGTCGGGGCAAAAGCGATCCACGACCACCAGGCGCACGTGTGGGGTCCATCGACTCGTGACTCCCCGGCCCTCATGCCTCCGAAGCTTTATTTATGTCTCCCCATTTCCGCTCCACTTCGAGCCCTCGACTCGCCTCACAGGACTCGGAGCTTGAGAGAGAGCTACGGGCTTGCGATCATGAGCAAGGTAATTCTGACGAGCTTAATTCTCCTTGCGCATCGTTTATGAAATTACTGGCGAGATGTTATCTCTAACATTCTTCGCTGCAGAAAAATAACAGTGGCGGCGACAAGAAGAATTCTGCCACCGGACACTCGGATCAGGGAAAGAAGGACGATGGCGCGATCACCGTGGTTTACAAGGTGGGAATGTACTGCGAGGGCTGCGTCGACAAGGTCGTCAGATCCGTCAAGGAATTCCCAGGTAGTAAATGCTTCCCCACGGGTTTCAAGTCACATCCTCCGGTCCATGCATCAGCGACGCCTGATCCTTCTTACCGGACTGTGATTTAGGGGTGCAAGAGGTGAAACCCGAGCTGGCGAGCAGCAAGCTGACGGTGGTGGGGAAGATGGATCCCTGGAAGCTCCGGGATCGCGTGGAGGCGAAGACGAAAAAGAAGGTGGACCTCATCTCCCCCATCAAGAAGCCCGACGCCGCAGCTGATCAAAAGCCTGTCAATGAAAAGGCCAAAGAGTTATATGTATGTCGTCTTCCACGCAAAAAACTCAGTTTATCACGTGCCCTTTCGGTCTACACAAAGATCTATGCATTTCTTGATTGTTTTGTGCAGCTTAAGGCCACGACGGTGGTGTTCAAGATTTCACTATATTGCCACTGCCGAGGCTGCATCAGAGGAATCGTGGACACCATCCGGAGGATCAAAGGTAGAGTTTCTTTGTCACTTCTAATATGGAAGGTCGTTCTAGATCTTGATTAATGTTCTTTGACCAAAGTCGTCTCCCCACATCTTTGGATACTGACTTTGGTGTACTCCCTTAGGAGTGCATGACGTCTCCATCGACGCCCAGAATGAACTGGTCACCGTCACTGGGACCATGGACGCGAAGGCGGTGACGAAGATCTCGAGTCACAACATGGTGCGGGAGGTGAAGGCGGTGCAGCCGAAGAAGGACGACGGCGGTGGTAAGAAGAAGGAAGGAGGAGAAGGCGGCAGCGACGGGGAGAACAAGGAGCATGCCGCAACGGCGGCGGCGGCGGCGGCGGTGGCGGAGGCAGGTAGGATGGATTACTACGAGTGGTACTATCGCCGGATGCATCACGCGCCGCAACTGTTCAGCGACGAGAACCCCAACGCTTGCTCCATCTCGTGAAACGCCAGCGACTCAAGTGAAGAACTCAGGCGAAGAATGGCAGGTGAAATGGAACGAATGAAAGAAAACATAAAGAGTTGTAAGATGCTTGAAGTCTCTTGTATGGTGGCAATGGGGGATTGACGTCAAGAGCAGAAGCTTTTTCTTCTGCTTTCTGAATGGATACTATGCATGGGGCTGCAAAAGAACAGACTGTTTGATGACAAATGAATGAATGCAGCATTCCCACACCCTAGTCAACAACACTTCACTGTCACTTTCCTTATAATCATCTCACATTTGTCTACTGGCTAATGAGATGTCTCGCATTTATAATTTCCAGTGGCCCTACATCATCGGTACCATGTTGATCGATCCAGGGAAGAAGGCATAGTTAATGCAGGCCAGTGATTCTTTTCTACGCTGCTGATGCATGGAATGTGTGTCCCGGTGGCATGCCGACTGTGTGCAATATAAATTGACCTCATCAAGTCTTCCAGATTAAAGCGTTGGAGATCAAATGGAAAGTACTGCTATAACTTCACCGACATGTGGACATCTCCTACACTAAATGCTATGATCAGTGTGTCGTCGATGGGACCGTGCAGGCAGGTTTCAGACTTTACCTTCGTGGAAGAGACAGAAGCTGATCTGATCAACAGTGAATGGTGTTCAGAACGCTCGGTCAAAGAGATAGAATCGAATATTAGATTAAACCCCAGCAAAGAAAACATGCGAGTGTTGGAAGTTGATACGATGAAGATGATGATGAATGGTGGACGCGTTTATATGAAGGGGGATGGGATGGTTGACCCGAAGGTCATCGTGAAACCTCGCACGCATGGATTATAGTTTGGGTAGATCACACACCTGCGGTCAAGTCAATTCGTCCTTTTTCTGCCCCTCCTTCACATCCTCCGGCACCCCGGCACACGGTAGCCGAAGCCTTGCCCTTAGGGCACGGTAAGCTCCTCTGCAGAACCTTAGCTGCACGCTTCAGGACACTGTTGCTCCTCACCAACATAGCTTCGTGTTTAGAGAGAGATTGTCATCGAGATATCTTTATGCTGGCTCGTCTGTCCTCGATAAAGGCTGCAGATCAGTACATGCTTTTCTTTTACGTGGAAAGAATTCTGATCATGGATCGACTTGGCTAAGCTTTTCTTGTGACCGGAAGGAAACGAGCATGACCTAAGCTGCATGAAGACGAGTCTCTGATATGCCATTCTCACCTGGAATCTGTGCATGTGTTTCCTGCATATGAGAAGAAGCTTCAAGCCGGTGCATGTTGGAGACGGTCCGATACTTAGTTGCCATGTTGTCTCGAAGGCAGGAAGAGCCGTGGAGGACCAGATGCATTTGTCTAGCTGACGGAAGATACGGAATGATGAGGTATATATGGAATGAAAATTTTATTTTTTATATATTTTAAATCTTAAATAATTTATGGTTTAAGAATCAATAATAGATTTAAGTATATAATTTAAATGCATGATTTAAGTGTACGATTGAAATATTATATATATATATATATATATATATATATAATCTTAATGAATGAAAATATTTCTTTCATAATAAATTCTTGGATTCTTCATGTATCAAAGTTGCTTCAAACAAGGCTCTCTCTTCCTAATCATCCGACGTGATCGATTCTTGCTATCCTAGATAATAATTCTCTCTACCCATCGACACTATCTCCTCTTATTTGTTTCCTTTTCTAATCCAACATTAAACTCAATGTCTATTCCATTACTCTTGATCTTCCCGATCTACTCTAATCGACGAACACATGCCATCACCATCATTGCTCTACTTTGTTTGGCAATCCTACTCAAATACCGAACAACCAAAGAAGATTTATCAGTGCTAAAGAAGCTTTCTTTGCTTGACGATCTTCCTCTCTCTATTGTAAAAACCCCAACCACCTCTTTTTGTGACTTCATTGTAGCCACCGACCTCCTGTTATCATTGTCGTAAGAAGGGGCCTTTCTCGTACCTTCCTAATCTATTTCCTCCTAGGATTAACATGATCTCTATGGATCTGATCATAGTCTCTTGCATTCATATGCTAAGCCTTTTATCTACTTTGATGAAAACAACGTAAGAGAAAAATATTATTAATGATTATATGTAAAATCTAAAAGTTCTTATAGATGATTTGACTTTAATAATTCATCTCCTAAGTGATAAAAAAATTATTTTTTATTTTTTTCTCAATAGCCTAGGAGACAAATATAAGGAATTGTCAATAACAATTCGAGCATGTAACTCACTAATATCAATTAAAGATCTATATGACAAGTTGATTGATCTTGAAATATATCTCAAACAAGAAGAGATGAAGAGGAGACCAACTATTATAGCTCAATTTAATCAAAAAATCAAAAGAAAAGATAATCAAAGTAATAAAAACTTCAATAAATAATCGAACAATATGCCTTCTAAATATAATAGGTAATACACAAAGCCATTATCTTTCGTTACATAATCAACTCTCTAACACTTCAATCCAAATAATTCAAAAAATTATTTCAATAATAATCACCACAATTATTAATAATTCTAACATCCTAACAATAATAATCAGTAAAAAGTCATATGCCAACTTTATGATAAAATTTGGACATGCAACAAAAGTTTATCGATCTCGACCCAAACCTACTACTACACCCTATTGGAAATCTGAGGCAGCATCACACAACAAAAGAACATAAAACAAAATCTCATGTTTTGTTTTTTTAGTTTAACTAGAGGTTAATTTTATAGAGACATTTAGTCTAATTATTAAACCGATGATAATTCGACTTATCACTATCACTCAAGGCCAACATGTATATTAATTATATGTTAACAACACTTTCTTATAAAAGGAGATATGTCTTTATGCAACAACCCCTTGGTTTCATCAATCCTTAATATCTAAATTATTTTTGTAAACTATAAAAAAATATTTATGGATTTCGCTAAGCTCCAAGAGCCTAGTATACCAAACTTGGCTCTTGTTTTATATCAATCGGCTTCGTCTACTCTAAATCTAACATCTCTTTATTTTTACAATAATAAAAGAGATGTATTGTATATCTACTAACCTATGTTGATGATATTATCATCACATGTAATAATTTTTAAAGATTAAATATTTTTTTTTAATATTTGATAAATCAATTCTCCATAAAAGACCTAGGAACCTCAACCTATTTTTTGAGAGTGGAAGATACATTCATGTTTTCTTGAATTTTACTATCTAAAGGAAATACATTGGAGATCTATTATCAAAGATAAAAATGTAGAATGTTAAAGAAGTGATCACCCCACTCTTCACCACTAAGTTACTCAAATTATACGATGATAACGATTCTACATAATACTGATAAGTATTTTATTCCTTATAGTATTTATCTTTTTTATATATCATTTGTAGTCAATAAATTATCATAAATTCATGTATTAGTCCACCGTTGAAGTTGAATATTAAGTCATCGCTACCACTATTACAAAACATAATTTGGCCATCAATTTGCTATATGAACTTACGATCATCTCATAATTCACTCCTGTAATATGTTATAATAATATCGCTACCACTTACTTATATTCTAACTCAATATTTTATTCTTACATGAAATACATTGTCATCGATTTCTATTTCATTAAAAATTAAGTTATTTCTCGCGTCCATATTTTTGATTAATTAGCAAACTCTCTTTGTATGAATATACATTAATTCGATGAAAAAATATTCATTTCACAAATAAATTATTTAATTTTTTATTCACCAAGCCACTGTCTCGTGATTGATGGGCTTCGTGTACCACGGCCACCGCGGTGCAGCGGATCGGCGCGCGCCCAGCGATCTTGACTGAGACATTGCGAATCGATCGATCTGAATCCGACGGCAGAGGAGGATTTGTGGATTCGTGCAATCTATCAAAAGCCCCTCCGCTGCTTCGAAATCTTATCGGTTCGAGAGCCCAAAAGCCCTCTGGGAGGCGTGGGAGATGGAGCTCCTTCCTCTGCGAGCTCCACCAGCTCCTTGGAAGGCCGGCGGAGGTAATGAATACTCATACTGATCCCAGCTTCTAATATCTTAGAGAAGGATTTCTCATGCCTAATCTCTGACATGGAAGACTGCTTGCTACTTCCTCTGATCTTGGTTTTCTCCATTCCAAGCCATCGATAGATAGCTGCCTATCTTGTGTCAGAATTAATCGAGGGATATTTCTTGCCGTAGAAATGTAATTCCGGTAGCCTTTAGGGCTTTTGATTTCGATGAGTTAGTTCAAGTAGTATTCAGGCGAAATTTTCAGAGAAGATGCTTGAAGTTGTCCCGCTCTTGTGTTCTTCTTACAATTTATGGATTCTCCTTTTACTTTCGACGCAAATTTCTGACAGAATTGAAGCTACTAAAAGGGGACAAGTTTTTTGAATGTGTCAAGCTAGTAGAAGTTGAAGGCAAGGATGTCAGACAAATTTGACTCTTCTGTTTGGTTCACTTGAGGTTTAGATGTTTTGGCAATCCCTGCCTGCACTCAATGACTGAGCAATCCGTTCTTCACTACCAGTGGAGAACAGGAATCGAATATAACCCTCAAGTTTGATCCCCGAACCAAATCCGATGACTCTTGTATACCTACTATGACCGAGCTCTCAAGAAACTCTCATCATCCGGTGATGGCATATATAGAGCCAGCTGCTCCTAGAGCACACTCCCTATCGTTGTCGTGGCCTTTTTCCATGGAAAGAATAATTCCCTATATAAACGATTTGCCAACCGAGAAGAGCTAGCCAATTAAGAAATCTACAAGTAGAAAATTTGGTAAACTCTGTATGTGTGTGTGTGTGTGTGTGTGAGAGAGAGAGAGAGAGAGAGAGAGAGAGAGAGAGAGAGAGACGA